AATGTACATATTTTATATTGAAAAACTCTATCTAAACTAATAAATATTTATTTTCCGATCCCGAGGGTATTACTTTATCGAGGTTTAACTATATATCCTAAATAAATACAAACAAACAAGTTGACCTACAAGCATCAATCTTCATTATTCCCAATTCTTCTTCTTCTCTATCCCCAACTTTTCATTAATTACCGATTTGACCCCCTTTTTTTTACGTGATCCTAGTGGTTAAATGGGATGGAAGTCTTGAAGAATGATGAACTCTGCTAATTAATGAAATATTGGGACAAGTTTTTGACGTAAGAAGTGTTGGAGATATTTGCTATTTTGCTCAAAGTTATGGATGAATGGCGGAAAAATTCGTTCTTTGAAATATGCCTATGCTTGGCCCTCATTTTTTTCTCAAACTCATTTTTAATCGAACTTTTATGGAACTCACAATTTTTATCAATTCTTTATCAGCACATTTTATATATTTTTGTCAAAATTTACTAAAATCTGATTTTTAGCTAAATGATTTGGGTCCAAAATGTGATTCGTTAACTTTTGAAACAGGAGAATCCTTCTCTTTATGGGCTCTTACGATAATTGGGCTTCTTTATTTCTGATCCACCCATGTAGAATCTTGGAAAGCCAATGTGGGAAAAGAGATTCTCATTTGTCGTTGGCTTATTTCACCAATCTTAAAAACTCGAAGCGATACCCACCGAGAACTTACGCAGTCGCAGAGATGGGGGTGACGAAGGAGCAAGTTGAGTCAACCCTAAATTCCAAGCTCAGTCCGTCTCATCTTGTAAGCCCTCATTTTCTTTCATCTTTCATCTTATATATGTATGGCTGTATCGATGTATGTACATGTGTGGTCGTGATTTCGGGTGTGTATAGGTTGCAGATTCTATACTATGTGTAATCCTTGTAATTGGTCAGTAAATGGTTGGGTTTTGTGTATGAATGGACTGAAATAGTAACAGTTATTAAATATTTGAACATATTATTGACGAATTGTAGACTTGTAGTTAATCATCGTTTCTTTCACTTTTGCTTCACTGTGAAATTTTATATTAACTTTTTCTACTAAATATTTGGTATACTTTATCTAATTTGATTGAGATTTGAGAAACCCTTTAAATCATCGTTGAACTAAGCGAGTGCCATTGGTTTGGCTGGGCTGAGCTGTGCTGTGCTGTGCTAATAAAAGACGATTATTTTGTCTCATTTAATCTGAAAAATATGATTTTATCGCATTTAAAGTTTTAAAACGACTTACTCGACGGTGTATTCTGACAAAATATAGTTAATTAAACTTCTCTTCATAAATATCTGAATAATTATAATTAATTTGAACAATTGAAATGAATTGACTTTCAGATTTGAAAGAAGATTTCCGGTATGTTGGCTAATGGATCATTTTATTTATTATGAGTTTTCTAAGGTACCTAAGTTACTAACAAGGGAAAGAAAAGTTCAAATTTTTCAAGATACTGCTTGTAAATTAATGCCTGTGATTGAGATTTCTTCTTAGTTGAGTATCAGTCACTGCACTTGTGTCCTCTCATTCATTTGTTTGTTACTCCCTCTATTGATCCAGCAATCCTTCACATGCTTGAATTATATCATGATAACATTCATTGAGTTATCCTGCTAAATCTGACATTTAAATGGCTTGTTCATAATCCTTGCACGGAGTAGGTCTAGTTAGGATATCTTCTTGGTGGTGGTGGTAGTTGTTTAAATTTGGTTGTGATTGTAGGATTAGCCCTCTAATTTTATATGCAAATAATTGAATCCATGTGGCTCCCACCCCCAAGCCCCAAAAAAATTTACCCAAGGTCTCATCAGATTATATATAAATTCTTGAAATAATCAAGTAACTAAACGAATCCATATATATATATACACACACACACACACACACTTGAGGCAGTGATTAAAAGAAATAGAGTTGTTTGTCTTGTACAAAGTTCGTGCAAAAGCAATCAATTTTCATGGCCAGAATTCCGAGATTTATACTTTTTGCTACTTTCTTCTATAGTACTTTTTCCTCCATTCCGCTTGCAATTAAAGTTATTTTGAGTGTGCGTGTTTCAACAGTTTCATATTTTAAAAGGGCAAGAACACCACACAACTTTAGCATTGTTTTTGTGTATGTTGATATCATTAACATGTTTTCTTGCACCTACTAATTGCTGAAGCCATATGAGGCGTTAAGATAGAGTCCACGACATGGAGTACGCCCTATTTCTATCGGTTTGGTATGTTAGAAGGGAAAGAACGCCACACAACTTTAGCATCTTTTTGTGTGTTGTTAACCTTAACTTGTTTTCTTGCTCCTAGTAATTGCTGAAGCTGAATGGAGTCCATGACATGGTGCAATAAAAATAATTTTAGAGTCTAAGCTGTTAAGATTCATCTAAACCCCCATTTAAGTGATTTAACTGTAGCTCATTTATAATTTCCAGGATGGTTTCTTTGGCTTATGGGAAATTTATCCTTTTAACTTAATAATTTAACATGTTTAAGAATTCTTGAATTCAAATTAACTTACTTTCTATTTTTGTCTTCCATTTCAGGATGTCATTGACACATCTGGGGGGTAAGCTGGTGAACGTATACATATTCACCTGAACTTTTGAAAATTATTCACAAAAATTCTCTCTCAACTGGAATAAAATTTATTTGCAGATGTGGTGCAAGTTTCACAGTTGAGATTGTATCCGAAAAATTTGAAGGGAAAAGATTGTTGGAGAGGCATCGAATGGTAAATGCTGCATTGTCGGAAGAGATGAATCAAATTCACGCTCTTTCCATAACGAAAGCTGTGACTCCGGAGCAGTGGAAACAGCAACTAGAGTCGCAAAAATCTGAAGCAGCTGCTTAAGATGCGACAAAGATGGAAAAAACCTCAGGATAGTTTGGATCATACGTAGGTCCAAAACATATAATTTAATGTTTTATCCGACTGCTATTCTATGCCAACTTATCGAAAATTATGTTAGTAAGATTGTCACATTACATGGTTTCCTATGAATAAGTGACTATCATTTGAACCTACAAATTTGAAGGACGTGTTTGCAGTTTTTTTTTTCCCTCGTTGACAAATCCTGTGAGTTGGTTTTTATCGAGGGTTTTGTGGGGTGAGACGGTGAGTAAAGGCAAAAAAATTTAGACAGTGTTGTTGGACAAAGATTTGGATAATAGTTTTAGCAGATTTTCATAAGAGTTGAAGAAACTTGTGATTAAATGTTGATAAAAGTTACGAATTTCATGAAATTCAGTAAAATTTAAAGTTCGACAAATTAAGAAGTATATTGCAAAATTTGTAAGTTGTGGCATATTTATTCTCTATTCGAACTTCATTCTCTAAGAAATTTGTTTCTCAAATTCAATTTCAAACATATATTTCTTCAAATAAAATGATTTTACACGTAAATATAAAAAAATTCATACTTTCTATCCATATATCCTCCAAAAAAAAAAATTATTGCTACAAAATCTATTTCTCAATAAATGAAGCCCAAACAAAATTTTAATTATAATAATAAAAAATTAAAATTTGACTTTGCTATCAAATATACATCTTGTTTGAATCCCATTTTTATTGAAGAATGTCTTTTAGAATAGTTGATATAAAAAAAAAGTTTTAAGTTTGTATGTAATATTATTTTATTAAAAATGTGTGATAAAAAAATGATAGAAAAATGTAATTTGAAAATAATAGAGGTGCATATTCCGGCACACTTTTTGTGTCTCTATCCCTCATTTGATCCCGTATGAATTGTACCCTTGTGTGGGGTATAATCTGCAGCCGAAAGACACTTGTCTGAACCTCAAGGAGTTGGTCAAGATTAACAAATGAGTACGAAGATAAAGCCTTTTTGCATTGATTCTTAAATTCATCCTCTAAGAAATCATAAACCAATTTAGTTCGAGTGATGGCCACAAATTTTATCCAACCTCCAATCCCAGCTTCACACGTGTTCTCTTCAAAACCCTGTGCCCTAAAGATGATGAAAATTCATGGTGCACTCTTGGCCACTCACCAATGGAACAAGAAGTGCAGCAGATTTGGGCTCAATTCTTCTGTTAAAGCAGCAGAACAGAGTTCTGAATTAGTTGCTGACGAAAAGATAATACCAGAAGAATCTGCCCAGATAAAAAAAAACCTTTACGATGCATTACAAGGTAAGTTTAATTTAATCCAATTCCGGATGGGATTTTTGTATTGAATTCAACTATATGGCTTTGATATGTGGTGCATTTGAACATGTATCGTAGGCATCAATAGAGGCATTTTTGGAGTCACATCAGCAAAGAAAACTGAGATTTTGAAATTGGTTGAGCTACTGGAATCTCAAAATCCTAATCCTGAACCCACTTCACGCTTAGAAAAGGTACAACAGATTGTAAAATTGTAGCAAATTAAGTTGGTATTTGTTATTGGTTTTGAAACTTTGTGTTGTAATGGCCAAGGTTTCTGGAAGTTGGAAGCTTATTTATAGCACCATTACCATCCTTGGGTCGAAAAGAACGAAACTCGGATTGAGAGATTTCATCTCTTTAGGAGATTTTGTCCAGTCTATCGACGTTGTTGAGGTACGCGTATATATCACTGGCCATGATATACTACATAAATGCTGGTGAATATGCTTGATGATGTACCTTTAGCAGGAATAATAGCTTGTGATAAAATAAGTTCTTGATCGATCTTTGTATTGTATTTATCTTATTAACTTTCTGCCTGATTTTAGTTTGCATTTATTAAGAAGAGATGCCAAAAGATACATGATTTCGTTCCAGAAATCGTTTCATATCAGAAAATTTACCCTTCTAAAATAGAATTAATCTGAGCGAGTGAAATGTTCTGCAGTATAGAGATTCCAACGAGGTCTAAATGAATTTTTGAATAAAAAGATGCATTTTTCTCTAAATTGTACTAACATCCAGCATTTTACGATGGCAAATGGAGGGTAAAGCAGTTAATGCTGTCAAGTTCAGCGCCAAAGGTCTGAATCTGTTCAACGGACTGCTAACGATTGAGGCCTCCTTCAAGATAGCTTCAAAATCGGTTAATATTGCGTGCTATTTATTTTTCGGAATTTTGAGTATCAAAGTACTTTCAAAGGCTAATCAATTTTAGGCTTCTTCTGAATGCTGCACAGAGGGTTGATATCAGTTACCTTAAGTCAGTGATCACACCGGAGCAGGTAAAGAAATGACCCCGAGTGAGAGTGTGTGTTCATCTCAATGTATGCTATCAGAATTAATTTTTCAGCCTTGTATAATTTTCTGAATTAAAACCGTAGTAACTCGATAATTAATCTGTTTTTTTCTCATACTAGCCAAATATCTCCATAAATTTCTAAATTTTGTGTCCTCTATTTGCATGTGGCGATGTCAATAGTTGATGAATGTGTTCAGGAAAAACTATGATCTTCTTCTCAGCATTTTCAATCCGGAGGGCTGGCTCGAGATAACGTATCCTTTTCCATCTTTGTACAACATTTTCTTTTAACTGTACTACTCGTAAATGCTGGAGTAACTTGTTTCTTCCTTGATTTGATCATTTCAGATATGTAGACTCTTCTTTGCGAATTGGGAGGGATGACAAGGGAAATATCTTCATCTTAGAGAGAGTCGAAGATAATACATTGTAAACATTTTCAAACTTCCCTTAGGCATGTTGATAATGATTCAAGCAGCATACAAAGAGAATTAAGGTAGAGCTTAAGGGCTTCTCTTTTCTTATAAATGAACTTTATTGAACTTCATATTCTCATTGTCAAAAGGGAACTGTAACTGTGCATTTCAAGATTAGATACTTTAATAGCTCAATTTGCAATAAGCAAATGAATTTGGCCAGAATGCTCTTCCTGTGGCAAATTTCTTTCTCATCTTGTAGCGAAGCCTTCTTGTTTGGACTTTGATTTTGATGCTTAAAGATGGAACAAATTTCAATTTGTCATCCATACTTCATTCATTGCTTTTTTTTTCAATGAAATTGAAAATTGCCTTTGAAGGCTCTCTGTTGTTTGATCCTCTCAAAATTGTGTTTCTACCATTAAGAATTTTGGAGTCTGCACAAGGCAAGGGAAAGTATTCATAACAGAATCCAAGGCTCTGAAGGTTCGAGTTTCCATGTGTTAGAGAGATCTCTATTGAAATCCATTTTCAAGTTCAAGTTCAATAAAAGGATAGGAGTCGATATCAAAACTCCCACACTGGGAATTTTTTTTCAAGCTTTTAAATTCCAATCGCCACCACACGTCGGCTATAGATGAAAATGCACGACCGGAACAGATGTAATACAACTATAATGCCCAAATATTGTTAGAGCTCGCAAAAGAAAAAAGAAACAGTCAAAGTATTTGATATTTGCTAAAGACGAGACAAATCATGACTGCCAAAGTAAACATATGCATAAGAAAGGTAAAATATACTTAAAACATAGTGAAGAAGTTATTTCATCAAGGAAACAACAGATGCATGAAATATTAACTTGCATGTCATAATACAGAGATCAAAATCTCTCATCCATAAATCTGAAAACTAATTAAAACCAGAGTAAAAGTGCAGTATAGTCATCCACACATTTAACTTGGAACGAAACTCAAACATAGGTGTCAATCAATGATTTTCTCATCTCATCGACAAGAGCGCTGGGTTGAGCTTCTCTCAACTTGAAGACGCTCTCAATTACAGATAATTCTGTTGCAGTTGTGTCTGATCCACAGAATGCTGTCCAGTCGTTAACAGTCAAACCAGCAGCTATAACTTCACTACCACGATTAACAGTCCCAGCCACCAAAGGAACCTGAAGAAGGGTCGACAATTCATCCAAGTCCTCTATGGATGTATGAGGATGGACCTGTTCCAAAACCAGAAGATTATGAGAACCGGGCTAGCACCAACCATAGTTGTCAATATATGATGAATGGACAAAAAATCAATATTCATTCAAAGGACGTTTTAATGAAGAATACAATTCTTACCAAGCCACCTCTGTTAGAAAATGCACAGTTGCTACCCACAAGTATATTACCAGCAACCGTCTGTCTGAAAACTTCTACCCCAAGAACATCTGCAATCATCTCCTCAGTATCCTGATCAAATAACAAATGCAGATTCACTTCTCCGCTTCTGGTTAAAAAAATAGTGACTGAAACAAATTCACTCATTAATCTCTACACCCAAACAACACAAGAATAAACTAACATCACCAAATTATGATAGTACTAATTCAACCAAAAAGTATAGAAACAAATTCTGAGAATCTTGATGAGAAAGAACAGAGAATTCTCATAATGAAATATGTTGTCGAAAAATTCTAGAAATCCCCTCCTTATTAGAAGGATGCAAAAGAATAAGTTGAACATCCATTAGGTCTACGTAACTCTTATAAACAGTGTCAACCAATCCACACAATACAGCAACTGTACATGTCACAAGATCTATCTTCTCAGCCCAACATTTACAGTTAAAATTTCATGGAAATTATAATAGTTCTTGGCCAACAGAAGAAGAAATGGGGAACGTAGGTTAAGGCAAGAAAACCAGTCAGAAGTGCCTCCAGTTCGAATTATGTACCATTATAAGTTGTGAAATTTTGCAGTACATAAGCATGTAGTCTTCTTTTCTTCAATGGTAGTGAAAGTACTGAAGATGTAGTTTCAAAAGAAATATGTTGGAAATCTCATGATCCGATTTGTCAATCGGAAGGCATATCGTTCGCCGCCATATATCAGAACGACTCAGTATGGAAGAGGATGTCTAATCTGTACGCTATACAACTAAGACATTGATTCTGGTGTGTACAAAATACAAATCACGAAAAATGCTTATAGTCAGAGGTGTGAGAGTCAATATTGCTTAGATCTAGCATGGATTTACAAAATTAATAAAAATTCTTTTATACATAAATGTTTGTTCATTAATATGTGAATCGATGGAAAAAGAATTAGACCAAAATACAGGTTCAATTAATATATGAAACCACTGGCAAGAATAAAAAACCAAAAACAACTATTTAGTCAAAAGAAGAGCAAGCACACGAACAACAAGAGGAGGAGAGCAACTATTTTTCCTTGCTGCTTTTGATGATAAAGAACAAATCTTTAATAAAAAAAAAAAGTTTAGATTCTCATTTTGGAGCTGCTGAAAACTACAAACAAGTTGCTTACAAGTTTAGTAATCAGGAAATCTATATTACCAGGCAAAAGCTGAAGACAATATGACATAACTAGAACTTGTCACGCCAGCACCTGTACTGGGAAGTTGCCAGTGTAAATATTCTGATCTCACAAGGTAGGATAATACTTTTAACACAAAAGCCAACAAATTTTACCATGATGACAAAAGAATATGGGTATCCTTCAAGTATGGAGATAAATCTTGAAAGTCAGATTGTATGCAAATGAAACAATTATAAAAGGCAAATAATTAACTGTTTGAAAAAAAATCTTCGACAAAAAAAAACAAAACAACAGAACATATATCATAATGGTGGTCAGGAAGAAAGTCTTTCAAGTCAGAGGAAGGATTGATATGTACCCATAAAAGACAATATTTTATTAATTTGTGTGGGTGGAAATATACGTGTAAAGGGCAGTTGACCACATAATGTCCAACCAACTCTTGCTTTATAGCACAAAACTAGCCATAACAGAGTGCATCCATGATGAATGAAACAGGAGAGAGAAGCAAATGAATAATACCATGTATTAATGGACAAATGAAAACAAAGCCTGGAAGAGGTTAGAATATTGGACTCAAGAAAGATCAGATAGAAAAAGTATTGGGTTCTCTAAGCAATGTAATGAGGTCCTTTTCCACTGGAAGAAGAGGGTAAAACAGTACAAGGCTGAATCAGCCAGAGAGTCCCATTTCCATTTAAAAACTATACTGAAAGTAGAGGAGTCAAAGCTCAATAATGGCCCTGTTCGGGATTGATTATTAGTAACATTTTAGGAGGGATAGTAGTGTAGTGGGGACCATGAAATGTGTGGATAATAATTAGTAGTAATTTTGAATGTCAGGATGAGATTAAAGTTTGACTTCGATTGGATAGAAAGAGCGGAATTTAGGTAAAAGGGAATGAAATCCAAACATACATTGATTAGACAAAAGAAAAAATAAGAAAAATCCCGAAACACTCAATTCTTAAGGGTCACAGAAAATGTAGAAAAAAGACAATTATGAACCCAAAGGTAAAAAGAACACACTATGGTGTGATAAGAAGCAAAGGTGAGATAAAATAACTGACGTTTACAGGTATATAGCAGATAAATTAACCCTTTCAAACATCAAAAATAGATGAGACATATCCAGTATCAACTGTGCTTTCCGGAGATCTTCCAAAATATTGCATTCGATTTAAACCCATTCATGGCTTAGAAGAAAACGCAAAAGGTTGAGCACAAGATTAGAAAATACTAGTACAAGTCTGTGATGTGCAGATGGTAGAAAGACGGGGGTTTTCATTCAGCGTCATCCAACAGTATTAAATACACAAACTGACTGGAAATTGAGATTTTATTCAAGAAAGAAAATACAGGAAATTTAAACATATATAACTGAATGAGTTTACCTTGTCAAGATCAGGGTGTGTAAGAGCAACGTGATCATTGCATGCAATGCAGTTCCCAAGAGCAGATAATCGCTCGTCAATGCGCTGAACAACAACGGAATCTGGCAGACTGTTCCTCAAGTGTTGGAGTTCTACATTACAGGAAATAGCAACATCAGGCTCACAATTAAATGATACGAAAATGAATAATCAGAGGCAAAATCTTAATGTAACATACATGAAATTGATGATCAAAAAAAATAATTAAAACCACCATATAGTCAGTGAAGTGACAATAATTTAAGGTGTCTTCAAGTGAATCGCACTCTAAATGGAGCATTTATGCTGTCAGAAATAGTATGTAACTGAACCACCTTATAATAAATTCCTTTTAACTGGCAGTTTCACATGGTTTTATTTCCACCATATTCATATCCTGGCTATAAAGAGCCAGGAGCAAACAACTGAACAGGGTAGAACACAGAAAATTGGCAACATTTACAAACAGACAGCCAAACCCGTTAACCCTTTCACAATCTGAGCTGGAGTGTAAGATTTATTCTTTTCTGTCAAGTGGGCAGTATATCTAAAAACATAGACCTCCAATCACATGCACATTCCATTCCTTTGATCATGGACGCAGATTGATGTCAGAAACAAGGAAGCTAAAGGATAAACCGGATGCGCGTGTCATTCCAGGTAATTTTATTTTCTTATCCAAATCAATAATGTGTTTACTGTTCCAGGCTACCAGACCGACAACAAGAAACAAAAATGTAAAATAGCAGAGCAGTTAGAGCTATTGCATGTCTCGGAACTCCCACGAAGATTTCTCCTTTGCAAAGTAAATTTGGAGTTGGAACAACGGTTTATCACGCACGCAACACTGCATGTGCCGTTCTTCTTCTTAACCCCAATATATATCATATTTTAGAAGTTTAAAATGTATGCACATGAATAACTTCCTTATTATTTGATAAAGATAAATGATAGCCACAAAACAGAACATATTACGAATCAAATTACCTTGATCGGTGGTAGTGTGAGGCAAGAGTAGTCCATTCTTATTTCCTGAAAAAGATATTATTAAAC